GAAAACCCATGGACCCCAGTTAGGTCCGTGCCCTCAGAGCCCAAGGCAGCTTTTCCAAAAGTTTGGAGAAGCCTCGTGGGACATCAGGGGACTCTAAGAAAGGCCTTTGTCTAACTAGAGAAAAATGTAGCTGCTGATGGCACGTTTCTGACCATATCCAAGGTGTGCATGTTGTAGTGGGTAGGACAGCCCAGCCTCTGGATGCTTCTAAATCCTGGGACTCCAGTGCTGCAGGCTGGTCATGCAAGGAGCAGCATGGTGCTCATAGGCCCTGAGATGTACCTATGACTTAAAAAAAAAACAAATCAAAAGCCTGGATCTGGCCAGTTAACAGGGACAGGGTGTTTGCCCAGTTCCTCCCTTCTCTGAAAGCCTTTCTCCAAGATGGGGAGTTTCAGTAAGCACAGAGAGAAGCTTGGCTGAAAGCACAACCAGAAGATGAATCAGTGCAGCAGAAGGGCTGGGGAAGGGCAACCAGGATATTCAGAGAGATGAATAAACTTCACAGCATGTAGTTCAGCTTGAGTGATACAAGGGGACACTTCTGCTGCTCTTCTACAGTACACAAAGGAGACAATTTATCACCCTGGGGTAAGAAGGAGCAGATGATTCCTGTGGTACCAGCTCCCAATAGTGTCACAAAGGGGCATAAAGACACTTCAAAGAGTCATTAGGACCCAACACCTGGAGATGGCTTCTGTGAAGAGGTTCTGATTTGACATCTGGTCACCCTAGATGGATTTTTCACTTCTGCTTCTAGACTGAGAAATAAGGGACAGCTGTACTGCAAGGAGCTGAAGAGCATGGAGTACATCCTGCACCACCACACGGGCTCCTTGTACCTCCTACACAAGCAAACCCCAGCGTGGGTCTTGTCCCTTACCTGGAACAGCCTGGAGGAGGAACAGGAGAAGAGCCATGAGGCAGGAGAAGAGCTTCATGGTGGAAGGTCTGAGCTGCAGGGTGGAGAAAGGGCTGCAAGACCAGAACCTTTGAGCAGGGGAGGAAGGAGCACTCTTGCATTTATGGGGCTGTGGGAACAGACCTGGCTGTCCTGGGGACCTTGGCAGTGGGGAGTGTGGAAGGCAATGAGTACAGCTCGACCGCTGCACATGGCTGGACCTGAACAATGCTGGAGGGTCACAAAAGCAAAGCAGGGAACTGCCTCCTTGCCTGGCCACTGGGAAAGCTTCTTCCCAATACCAGCCCACCTGGAGAGCATCCTTGCTTGTTAGCTTCAAACATTAAGGTGGTTGGTAATGGGCTACTCAGCAAAAATGAGCCATTATTTTGCTGAGCAAGAAGGCACCTGGGAGTATCAGGAGCCAGTTGGACTTGATGGTCTTAAAAGTCTTTTCCAACCCAAAAAATTCTGTTTTCTAAGACTGTCGAGCTGTAGTGGGACCTTAGGAGCCAACATGTGCAGAAACCTGTGCTGTAGATATTTGTATTTAACTGGCCAAGTCCAGAGCTAAGGGCATCTATTGTCATTTATGATGCCTCAGGGATCCCACCTGACCTCCAGCTGCTGCTCCAGGAGGGTGCAGATCCCACCCGTAGCTCCAGCAGGGTATCTGCCAACCCCAGGCACACATTTTCCTTTCCAGTGTCAGAGGGCCTCTCACACGACTCTGGTCAACCTCTGTGAGCAACTGGGTCAATTCCTAAACGTTCTGCTGGGGTGTGAACTTCTGGTTGTGGTCATTTTGTAGGAAAAAATATTAAAAAAAAAGAGAAGATTATAGAATCATTTCAGGTCCTGCTCTGTGATGCAATGATCAAAAGGTTTAATTCCAAATCAAGCACTTCTAGTAGCAAGGAATCCTGTCCCAAAGCATCGTGGGGTCAGCTATGTGTGTCCAGCAGATGTATGACTTTTTAATGCCACCTACAACAGGGTAAAGAAGGTAAAAAGAACATTTTTTTTCTTTATTATTGGTAGTTTGAACAGGAGCACTAATGGATTTAGGTACCACAGAGGAAAACAACCCTAATTTTCATGCTTGGTTGTCTAGTTTCAGGTATCTGAACAGATATAAATTTAGATACTCAGCTGGTTCAGGTTTTTTTCTATTTTGAGAGACTTACCTGAGAAACTCTATTGAAACTTCTGGTGAAGTGAAGCATGGAAGATTTTTTTTTTTCCCAAGCTCTTCATCTTAAACATTAATCAAAATTGTTAAATCATCCATGTAATTGTCTTCAGACAAGCAGGGAATATCTCATGAATGGTATGTATGGGGTTTTTTGTCTATGAGTTTCAGCAGAAACCTTACAGAATATGAGTTAATGAAGTAACATATAATCTTGATTACTTCAGCTTATCTTTTATATTTTTTTTTCACCTTTGCCCTTCTGAACCCAAATCATAGACCCATAGAATGCTTTGGGTTGGAAGGCACCTCAACAGGTCATCTAGTCCAACACCCCTGCACTGAGCAGGGACATCTGCAACTAGAGCAGGGTGCTCAGAGCCCCATCAAGCCTGACCTTGAATGTCTCCAAGGCTGGGGACCATCTACCATCATTCTAACTCATCCAAATCCTGCACCCTGTACCTCCTCTATCCTACTCTCTCCTGACCTACCAGGCCATGTTCTTCTTACCTTGCAAGTCAAATCTACCCTGGACCCTGATCTCTGGGACACAGTTTAAGGTACAGATCTTGCCAGTGGCTGGGAACTATGTCTCCAGGATGCTGCACTTGCTCAGTTTGCTTTCAAACACCTTGGAAAACATCCAGGTGGTTACTTAACCCATTCAAGTCAAGCCAGCACAGACCACAGGTCATTTCCCATCTCCACTCTTCCATCACCCAGAGCAAGCACCTGAATATTAAAGAACCAAGAAGAACTTGGGTAAGAGATAAAGCAACAGCTTACTGAAGGGAGCTGTGCAGATTAATGATGGGTCTTCTCACATGGGCCCACCTTGCATGGGTTGTTTTCCTACAAAACCCTGTGTCAGTCAGAATGCATCATACCTGCACTTCTGCAGAGAGCCCATCTGCTCTCATAATGCATTTAAGCAAAAACCTGTGGAAATGGGCAGAAAGTCTCCCCAGGGCTGAGTCATGATGTCCCACTGCTCTTCCACACTCCAGTCCCCCAGAGGTTAGTGCTGTGCTCCAAGAAGGACCTGTTACAGCAGCCTGGAATTAACCAGCTCCCTTTGTGCTTGGGCTGCTGGGACTCCATTTCCATGGAACATGTTCTACGATTAAAAATGCCATTTTTCTACTTAAAAAAGCAAGATCTTGCCATCTTAGAAGCAGTCAGAAGAAGAAGAGGTTCCTGTAGTTATTGCCTGAAGCCATTGCTCAGCCCCCTGAGTGCTCATGCTGTTCTGCAACAGGATCAAACCCTTTAGGGGTGCCCATGAACTAGAAACAACCATTTGTCCACTTTCTGCCCCAGGGAGAAATGTTTTGTCACTTTTCTGTCTTTTCACAGGTAGTTTGACAGACCAAAAGGATATTTTTTCTTTATTCACAGCACCTTTCACAGAACAAAATAGAATTCTTTGCTAGGTTTATGGATGAGTTGCCCACTACCCCCTTAGTGCTTTCTCTTGGGAGCCAGTGTTGCATCACAGGACTTACAACAAGGTCACAAATGATGCACAGATTATGGACTTGTGCAGATGCCATGAGCAGCACACTCAGTTTTGCAGGTGTACAAAGAACAGAGGACAAGTGGGATTCATGGTAAAGTGTTTATAAGGATCTGTCTGTACAGTGTTTGAGTTGTGCTACCAACAGCCAGAACTGGTAGCTGACAGCACAGATTCTCTTTAGAGCAGAAGAAACCAGTGTCACTCACCTGAGCCTGTTCCTATAGATGATATTTATTGATGTTGTTCTGACCCAGTGGCCTTGGGATCAACAATGCAAACCTCCCCCTTAGCCAGTGACCATTGTTCTCTGCCTTTCTGGTTCCTTTGTTAGTGTTTCACTGGAAATTTTCAGATCGAGCCTCCAAGGCAGCCATGTGGCAGGAGATGTTTGTGTCCATCTTCAGGCACTCCAGGGAAATAGGTGGAACAAGCACCTTGACAGGAAAACATGAGTTGGTTCATGTTCCCATGGAAGCCAAGGGGAACATCTCATCTCTCAGGCAGGATCCAACGTTATGCTTGGTCAGAATCATAAAAGGGTTTGGATTGGTAAGGAACTAAGGGTCATCAGGTCCAACCCCCTGCAGGG